TGAAAATCTTCTTATCAAGAAACACTGGGCTAGAAAAGACTTATTATCTCACCTGAGCTGATTGCTCAGGGGAGCTTTTCTGATCACCTGTTGTCCATCTGTCTGTGTAATCCAACTTGGTACAAAGCATCTTTGGGTAAAGGGGATCGAGTTTAAATTTTTAAAATGAAGGGCCAAGTCCACGTTCGAGGGGAGATAATCAAGAAAAGATAAGCTTGATAACTATTACTTATTAAAACAATTTCGAATAAATCTGCTGCTTTAAGTAGAGGTCCAAGGATTTCAGGGGGTCCAAGGTGACTTTCACTGCCCCCCCCCCCCCCCCAAAAAAGCCCCTCTAAATTTGCACATGCAGTTGTCATAAACTTATCATTGTCAGTCACTTAGATTTATTCACTTGAAAGACCAAACGGAGGTATAATAAATAAGATATGAAAATTGAGCGAGAGAGTTAAAAAAATTTTTTCTCAACAAACTAGATTTGTTTCTGAAACACAAATGCCCACCCATGAATGACAGCTTATGGCATTAAGGGTTGAAGTTTCTCAAATTTCAAAGTTCAAGGTCAAAAGGTCAAAATTGTTGATGTCCAAAGAAAGTTCTTGTCAGAAGGAATACATCTTGAAATATGAAAAACCCTTGTACTAACAGTTGAAAAATTATGGTTAAGATTAGTTTCCTTAACAAGGATCAAACTCTAAGGTCAATTTCAAAGTATGAAAGCCATAGCATCAGCTACATGTATTCAAAAGTTATGGCCAACTAGGTTAAAGTTCAGAAAGTTTGGTAAAAGTGGGTCAAACTCCAAGGTCAAGTTCTAGAAGTCAAAGAAGAAGTCTCAATAAGCCATTATCTGTGGTCCCCGGTTACTTGTCAAATTTTAAACTTTCATTAAAAAGCTCAAAAAGTAAATTACATTGTTCTCTTATGTCTGTAGTATATGCTCCAACGTTTAAAAATTTCAAATAATTGCAAAAAAGAACACGCGAAGCTGTGTTATGAAGGTGGGGTCCTTTGATTTTCATGAATATCAAAAGAAATTTGTGGCAGGTACCCACATCACGGCTTCCGTAAATATCGAGCGCAGCTTTGTTCAAAGTCGACGTCAAAATATATTGTGTATATTATATTTATACAGATTGTGTGAAAATATCTTTGTTGAACAACCTTGCGCTGTATGTTTTCTACTTAAAAGTAGCATGGTTTTGAATCTGTTCGGTGAGTACATTTACATAGGATTAACCTCTTGTTGACCTGCTAAGAATAGATTATATATCACGTGATTCCATTCCGCCACAGGTGAATATCTTTGGAAAGCTTGTTTTCTATAGGAAGCGACACATGTAGCTCGTATTTGAAAAGTGCAGACACCAGCTTTCATTTTTTTAAATTAAAAAAGGCTCTCTATAGACCTCGATGAATATTACTTATGTTAAACTTTGACGATTTTCCGGGACATTTTTTTTAATTCTCATGCATGTAATCGCAATATTCCTGTTCATTGCGCAAAGCACACGTGTAGATGTATATAAATACATATTAAATCAAATTCTTGCGAAAAAGAAAAGCAGAGAGTACCAAAGAAGTAATAATTTCTTCACATTTAATCAGTCTAAACAAATGCACTCACATACTGACCACTTCAATATTGAAAGCAACCTCATACTCTTGTTACGTTTTTGGATGCTAGCTGCATGCATATAAAATTTTATATAAACTCGGAAAAACTCTGACTGTATTTATAATCGATAAGTAAATCGGAATATTGCTGAATTTACAGCGAAGTTAAGAAATATATAATTATACATGTCAGGCAGGTAGTATCTGGGGAAGAGGTGACCCATTCATTTCAGGGATAAATCTTGAGCCCCCCCCCCCCCCCAAAAAAAAATTATACGCCTTTACGCTGTAACAATATGAATAAACACACATTAATGTTAATGTTTAATTTTTCAAATAAAAAATGAGTATTTTTTTTTTACTCCTAATTCTACATTAATCGTTTTCAAGTTTGGAGAAGGATTCCCTCGATCTTTTTTCTTTTGCTTTATCAAATTCATGTTTTTGTTTTCTTTTCTAAGCCTCTCCCCTGAATGGGAGTGTATGTCTGTCTGTATTAACCGTTAATTATTTTGCAATCGCTTGTGCTTTTCAAACAATCATATAAAAGAAAATTATTGTCGTGAGTAAAATATCATGACATTTTATTCAACAATGATAGATTTAAAAAAATTATTGTGATGAGGGGGATTTTCAAAACCCCGATAAAAATACCTCAAGAACTAAAAAAGACTGCCATCCACCCCAAGTTCAGAAGAATACGATTGATGCAAAATAAAATTCAAGCGTATTGAAGATTATTATTACCCATCGTATATTGTTTATTATTTCTTATCTCACGCTACAGCGTCTTCCTTTATATAATACCTAATTTAAATGTCTCCGCCCATTTGTATGTAATAGAAGAACCGTACTCTGTTCGAAAGAAAATGTTCCGGAATTTGTGTGTTCAGTAGGTGTTGGAAATCGGCTTCTATTTCTTGATATTCCAAGTTACTGATAACGATTGTACAAGATTTTAATTAGAAATACTTTGTTATAACGTGCGAGTACCCATTATTGCCGAGTACCCATTATTGCCGATTTTCGTTTTTACGTTTAAAAATCTGTCAAACGGTAGTTATTTGTAATTTTTTCGCAAGATACATAAATTACAAAATTTTTTCAAACCCCCCAATCGTCCCGGAGAAAGAAAAAGTTGTTTAGAATTAATAAACTCACCGGTGATATATCAAGTCTTTGAAAACGCACAAAATAGCAGTCGTGCGACAGGGCATGCCATAGAATTATTGGCTAGATTTCCATTTTCCTGACAGAATCAGTCATGTTTTGGTGCAAATCAAATGAATATTCTCCTGCATGCAATGATACTAAACGAAATTATCCATGATAATATTTCTACTTGCAGTATTTCACGAAAATTACGATGAGTACGAAGCGTCTGCTATACGACGCCATTTTTGTTTTATACGGGAGCGGATCAAAATCCACCACACGCACCTGTTCTTAATAAATCTGCAATAGGTTATTTTTATCGATTTATTTTTGCTCATATCGCTTCAAAATTATATGAACAACTTTTTAAATTAACATAACAAGGTGGAAGTGTCTTATTTATTTTTTTTAAATAAAAAAAATATTTATAAATGGGAAAATAAATGGGAAAATGAGAAAAAAATTCACAAGTTCTGGATGACATGAGAGTACAAAGACATATCCTGGATTCATCCTTGGAGAAGCAATATACTCAATAACTTACTCTAATTTTTTTTTCTTCAAGAGATAAAAAAAAAAATAAATATTATGAAAAATGAAGTTCTATTGAGGATGGGGGTGCAAGCTACTTTTCTTCAAAACCCCCTTTTATTTTATAGCTATAAAAATTGGAAACTGAAACCCATGCAGGGGCTGAAGGGTCTAAAGTCATACCTTATAATTGAACAAAATTCTTTTGAATAAATACCAGGGTTACCCTTAGCTATTGACATACTGCAGTATTTATTGAACTTTCATGTAGTTTTATAATCTATAAAATATACAGTGACAAATTTACATGTTTATAATTTAACAAAAAACACTTTAGAAAATTAAAATGCTTTGAAGCTGTTTTATTTGTTTATCTTGCGACTTGTGAAAAAGAAGCAATGTATTACACCCACCCCAATGGTTTAGAGAGTACCTTAAAATTAAAGGTGAAAGCAAAGTCAAAATATTGTTTGCATGCAGTTTGTAAAATTACTAATACCTGGAAATCAAATGTAAACAATGCAATTTTTATCCAACAGTCTGCTTCTGAAGGGGGAAATATAATGTTTACTAAAATAAATTTAAAAAAAAACATGCATTGCCAAATATATTGTATACTTCATAGATCATAAAACATTTAATTTCTGGAACATGATATCTTGCACATTTCTCTGGTGATATGTCAATTTAGAATTAAAAAAAAATGGAAGGCTTAGGAAAAAAAATATCAAACCAAAAAATTAGATTACCATTGCAATCTAATTTTTCTCAGTGGAATTGTTTTTGTTTTTTTTTAATTTAATATTAAAGAAGATGGGATACATGTTCAACTGAAGATTCCCTGTGTAGAATGCAGAAGAATTAGAAATACATGTTTTTAAATTTTTTATGGCTTATGATAGATATAAAAATTCTACAAACTGAGCTTAATTCAAGTGGAATGTAATTATAGTTCAAAAACATTTTTTCCTTAGTACTAACAGAAAAGACAACGAAACAAACACATGCTAGAAGTGCTTCATTTACAAACTACATCAACATACATGTGTGTAACAGAAAATATTCAAATTCAACTTATTTCTTTTTAGTACATGAAAAAAATAATTTTTGTTGAATTGACATAGATAGTAAATGCCTATAAATCCAAATTCTGTATTAAACATTGCAAAATGATACTTGTATATCTGTACATCAACAATCATAAGGTACCTTAGGCTAGTATTAACATTTAAATATTTCCATCTTGTGCATCTGCCTTTGTGTCTGATTCTAAGGAGGTCCAATATTCATGTAAATCTTGTGCGGCTGTCTTTGTGTTTGACCTCAATGGGTGGGGAATATCGAAATTGACACGGGTGGCCTCGTGTAATTTGAATCTGTTTATATTTTTAAAATCTAAGTTTACAATTTTATTTCACAATGAAAAGTAAATATAAGGAATCACTGTGTAGTTAGTTAGCTTCACTCGTTATGCAAAGTATCCCACAATTTCAACTACTGTATGCAGGGAAATTTTCGCCCCCATTTTATTTTCGCCCCTTTCGCCCTCTTTTTGAATGGGCAAATTTAAGACGGAGCGAATTGAAATTACACAGCATAATTTCTTAAACAGAACTATGATTGGGCGAATTTAAAACGGGGCAAAACTGTTCGCAAGTGCAAAAGGGCGAAAATAACCCTGTATACAGTATCGTTGATGCCCTGGTATACTCTACTAACTTGACAGTTATTCCTTAAATAACTATTGAAAATGATTGCCTTAATTTTATATAAAATGGACACATACTTTTCACAATTTTAGAATCCAAATGATTTCAATCACATGGCCTTAAACTTTTAGATGTACAGTTTAAATTTGCAACTTTTTTGACTACTCAGTGTATATCTATGGAAACATTTTTTATTAAATCTAGATGAAAATAGAAAAAAGTTACTTCAATTTACAGTTACAACATTTCTTTACATACTCCTATATATTTTTTTAATTCTTCACATAACACTGTAAAACTTTGATTTTATAGCAGCCATAGGCAGAGGTCTGTATGACATTCAACTCCTTAAAAAATCTTCAGATACTGTAGTCAACCATTTATTGGTCATTGGCAAGGCAAAGTGAGGACAAGTGCTTGATATGTGCCTAAAAAAAAAGAACAAATTTGGGATATAGAACAGTAATCCAAAATAAATAAACAAAGAAATAAGTTATTTTTATTTTAAAGTTAATTCCAATTTTTATTTCTAAAAATATTTCAAACATTAACAGTACATACTGAAGATTAGTTGTTAAGAACTTTAAATATCTTTAAACACAATTGTAACAGAAAATAAAAATCTACTACTTGACAGATTCATAGAACCTTTCTGAGTTAATATGTATTACATGTATTTAGAATACAAGACACGTTCTGTATCGTAGGTACAAATCTGGGGGTGGATGAGTGTTATTCCAAAATATTTATAGCAGGAAAACATCAGCATTTACTATTTGTACACGCTTTTGATAAATTGAATCAGATTTATTTTTAGATCGTGCTGTATTTTGACTAATACAAGACAGTATACAGGGCTAATACCGAACGGAAAGTAGCTAGGCCCACCATAGTCCCGTTCTGTATTGCTTATACAGAACAGTAAACGTCAAAGAAAAACACCGCTATCATGTCACAATATACAGTTATAGACTTCATAAAGGGCAATATGTGGTTATAAGAACTCATGGCAAGTGATACTGGCCAAAAACACAGGAGGTCATAATTATTTTTTAAGTAGTACCGTTATACCTTTGCACATGTCTCATCTTCCTCAAAGAAGCTCCTCTTGACAGTCACAAAATACTATGTTATCTTGTGCGGGAAAGCACCAACTAGTCTTATGACAATGGTCTTCTTCCAAAAACTTCTGAATTCACATGAAAAGGACCTTCAACAAATATAAAGAATCATGATAAATTCTTGAACACATATAAAGTAAATAATTATACTTTCATTGATTCCACATAAATGTGACTATCAGTTGCCAACTTAATTTTCTTCAATTGATAGTTTCTTAAAGATTTCCTTCATTGCATGCAGTTTGTTGCATAATGGTTGGGATGGGGGAGAGGTTCAAGTGATTTGTTTCATAAAAATATTAAAAATTATACAAATTCAACATTTCATATATTAGTTAGCATTTAAAAAAAAAATCCAAGTAACATAACCTTGCTGAAGAGGTGACACCACAAAACAAAACCTCCAAACTTGCAGTTCGGGTGAATTATATCAGGTGCAGGTGCGTGGGGGATGGGCTGGGATTTTTTCGATATATATTTTAATGCACAGGAAAAACATTATCAATACTTCGTATTATTTAAAAAATATCAAGATGACACTGACCAATGACATCCATTTACTGCCATCGATGTGGAAGTACGCCATGGGGCTCAAGCGTCTCTGCTTTAACACGGAGCTCCTCCCACCATGTTGGAAGGAATATTTGAAGGCTGGTTCACAAGCAAAAGTATACGCAAAAACTGGTTTAAAAGTGTTTGCCAAAGCTCTGCAGCCATTGAGGCTTGTACTTCTCGTTCTCTTATCTGTCAAAATACTGCGTCCACTTGAAAAAAATGGCGTTTCGGTCATTGTCGGTTCCGATAAACTGATAAAGCTGCAAAGCACATGTTCCTCCGAATGTCAGACTGCTCGGCCCAACGACACCTCGGCCCAACGATACCTCGGCCCATTGACACCTCGGCTCCAACGGCTCGGCCCAAATTTAAAGACACCTCGGCTCACATAAAAGACTGGTCGGCTCACATAAAAGACTGGTCGGCCCAAACAAAATATATCATTTGAATTAAATATATTTATTATTTATGCTGTTATATATCTATGAAATGCGAAAGAAAATTAATTTATCACATCAATACATTTGCAATCTTCCAAGACGGCAATTTGACGGTAATTAAAGAAAGACAATCCATTAGTAACTTGATTATATAAGTGCTAATCATTAAACAAACAAGAAGACACAGTGCATCCTTTAGAGTCTCGAGCGCGTGTCATAGGGGGTGGTGTCTATGGGGAGTTAATTACGAGAAGCCGTTAATGAAAAGTTCCTTTAAGAAACCATTGTTGATATTTTATTGAATTGATTTGAAAAAAATATGAGTTTTTAAAATTAAACAGTAAAATATATATATATCAAAAATAAACAAATCAATAAATCTTGTGGACCATTACATAAACTTCTGTTAGACCTATTGGTTTACACATAATTATTTGTAAATTCAACGGTACAATGCACTGCAGTAGACAATTTTAGTCAGTCAGTCGGGAGAGGCCAACCAAAACTTTTTAAAAATGGCTAATAGATATTAATAATGTATAATGTTGCATTTTAATAAACAACAAAGTCAATAAATAAATAGACCTGTTACCTCCCAATCAACGGATTGTAATTTGATGTTGTGTTGTGGTTTGTTAGAAAATACTGAAATTATCGTATATTCATTGTAAACGTATAGTGATTATATATAAATAGTATACATTTACATTACCATAGAAAATACAAAATAAAAAAATAAGAATTAAACTGATTTAAACAAACTAAATTCAATTTTATTCCTTGGGCCGAGCAGTCTTCGGTATGGGCCGAGGTGTTAATGATTTTGAGCCGACCTGTCAGGGCCGAGGTGTCAACCAGCACGGGCCGAGGTGTCGTTGGGCCGAGTAGTCTGTCTACCGTTCCTCCATAAGTTTATTTTTGCGCACGAGGTCGTAGCAACATCGAAAAAAAATAGGTCACCAAAAATTAAAATAAAACATTAAAATTGCGCTTCTAATTGCATAATTTTATATTTAAGACATTTTTCTGTCTATTATTGTCATGAATTTAAAAAGGGTTGGTTTATTTTTCGTTTATTTGGTGAATAAGGAGGAAAAGATATAAGCGGCAATAATGGGTACTCTACTTCCTGTTTATCGAAGGTCAAGGACGGGGGTTATTTTTAGCCCGAAAGTAAGTCGAGATGGACTTGTTTCAAATGAAAAATATATCTCATGTTAATTGAATGAACATTGCAGAGATACATAAAGAAATTATTTTAAATCAACTTATATTTTGGATATGACAAAGAAAAATGTGGTATTTTTCGGCAATAATGGGTACTCGCACGTTACACAATGAAACTAAAAATAATACCGTATCCTCATGTATATTCTGTAAAATAAGGGCAAAAAAGGGACCACGCTGCTATACTTAAGTGGAAAACTCCTTTGTTGGTCTTGTTACAAGGAATACTGCTGTCAGTGAAAATTATGAAAACCATAGCCCCACCCACTCAAAAATTACGTCCAAGGTTTAAATTTTTGGGGACAAACGTCTTTAGGTAGTGTTCATTCTAATATCTTCAAATTTTGATCCTCAGGGTCTTTTATATTGGTGTATTCAAAATTAAGCATAATCATCACTAGGTATTGAATTGCCGGTATATTCTTGATTTAGC